TACTGACCGACACAGCCAGGCTGGGTCCCCCTCTGGCCCTAGGTAGAAATGCCGGGTTTTTTTCCAATAATTTTCTAAATTTGCTGGTAGTAGGTTGAGTCTTGGACAGGAACCTCTGTTTTTCACTCGCTTTAAAACTGCCCCCAATAGTGTCATTCCAGTAAATTTGACATTCCCCCTGCAATACCTTCCAAAAGTAAAATTAAACAAGTAACATAATAAATTTTTCGATTTCCAAAGGGGTATATACCCTGTACCCTGAGGGCGTTTCCCAGTAGGTTTCTTTATTGACAACGTTAATTTTCCCCATTTCAGTCAGGGTCCCGGGTCTTTCTCCCGCCCTTTAACAGAACCCGACAGGTAGCGAACTTTTATTACGACGTTTCGTCCCCGACTTTGGGTTTTAATCGGGGCCCAAAATTCCAGTCATGAACAAAACCCCCGTACGTTTCTCACTCCTTTAAAAACCTTGAGTAAAAGAAAAATTTTTAGACCCCAAAAACACCAAAAAATTTTAATGGAACCCTCGAAGTTTATTAGGCAAAGTCAGTTTCCGTTTCCCTTTCCCTACAAACTTATCTTCGGGGAGTTGTAAGGAAAATTTCCCGGGATGACGGGACACAACTGGGGGGGGGTAAGGGCTCCCAAACTGGGCTTTGGGCCCTCAAAAGAAGGACCATCACATGCTGCAGGCACCCCCGAGACGCCGCCAACCTTTCCCAAAACAAACTTAATAGTTTGATAATGAACAAGATATTCACAAGTTTCAAGTGATATAATGCAATAAAACTTATAAATTACTTTCTTCTAATCTTATATATTATGCGTAACATATATAAAAGCTTGAGGATCTAATTTTGAGGAAGAAATTTTATATCTCTGACAAAGAATTGGGAAAAGGACATGTAATGTAATTTGAAGAAGATATACACAAACGTCCCTTTCTTAATGTACGATGCAGTGTTTTCCTCGACCCACAACGTCTTAAAAGTGTTTCCTTATATTTACAACACCTTAACAATGTCCTCCTCAACCCACGTCATCTTAAAAAGTTTCCCTCGACCAATAAACGTTCAGAGCACCGTTCACTGTAACAGGTGCACACGGGTCCTCTTTGATACCCGAGAGGACAAACAACAGACTCATTTTAACACCACTTGCCACCTCCAGTTCCACCTGGCGCTGGTGTTCGCTACCGAACCCCTTTTGTGGAGAAGTGGGCCGAGTCACCTGAAGTAATGCCAGCTTGACTCGCCGCTACCCCGTAATTTCACGCCAAGACTTCCCCGTAAATGAAGCAAGCAGCTCCACCAGTGATCCATTATGATGTCCCTAAAAGGCACCACTGCTCACCTACCACCACTATCGCCGGCCCACTACCACTATCACCTCCAACACAAACAATATTACAAGCAAATCGTTAATGACCACTGCCTGCAAAGCACTTTTACTGACACCAATATCAGGAGCCTTGAATCACCATTCTAATGTTAACAATGCAGGTCCACAAATTCTAGTACTCTCACCATAGAGCTGTTGTTACTGCCACTTTTTCTGTTGTTGTTGTTGTTGTTGTTGTTGTGGTTGTTGTGGTTGTTGTGGTTGTGGTGGTTGTGGTGGTGGTGGTGGTGCTGCTGCTGCTGCTGCTGCTGCTGGTGCTGCTGCTGGTGCTGCTGCTGGTGCTGCTGCTGGTGCTGCTGCTGGTGCTGCTGATGGTGGTGCTGCTGATGGTGGTGCTGCTGATGGTGGTGCTGCTGCTGCTGGTGCTGCTGCTGGTGCTGGTGGTGGGGTGGTGGTGGTGGTGGTGGTGGTGGTGCTGCTGCTGCTGCAGTCATCCAACTATAATACAACACGAGGATGCCATCTTTGTGTGCTGAAACATACCTCCTTCAAACATTTAAGATCAAATGATGTACTTGAGTCATTACTACTGGTGGTAGTTCTGTGGTCGTCACTTCATACATAAATTACTGTTCCTGCTTCCCACATTAACCTCGTGGTTTTCAGAAAAATAACAATCTTCAGCAAAATTTAACTTTATATTAGCTACACATCTCTGCTGATCCTTGTATTATGCTGAAGAAGTAAAGTCGTGTTTTACTTGATATGACTTCTCGTGATCCATTGTCGGTCAACAAGACTAAGTCAAGCGGCTATCTGTGTTTCTTATTTCCATCATTTGACACTCAATTTCTAAGTCTCGCCTAAACTTGGGTATGATGTGGCAGGAAGTGTTGTGTCCTGTACTATTTGTAACAAACCATGACACCTACAATGACTAGCCAAGCAATGCCTTCCCCAGAGACCTCTACCTACCTACCTACCTACCTACCTACCTACCTCTCTCTCTCTCTCTCTCTATTTAAAATATCCAAATTTATTCTAGTTTATCTGTAGATTAATATATAATTACTTCTTAATTTTATTCCTCTGCACAAATCTGAGTCTTGGCAAAGACTAAATATTAACAACTTTATTTGCCAGGAAAGACTTTAATAGAGGTTCTTAAAACTAAAGAACATACTCAGTTGCAAATATATAAAAACTAAGTATATATAACTCCAGACTGATATATTTAGAGATATCATTAATTATGAAACAGACAAAACATAATTTTGCCACGACCCTCCCAGGCCTGCGGGAGATAATGGTCCGCAAGACACCTTATTACTGTAGAAATATATTAACAATGTCAGAGCTTATGGTAGTGCTGGTGCGTGCAGCGGTGATGTGGTGCTAGCGGCGGCGGCGGCGGTGCTAGCTGTTGGCAGTGGTAATGGTTGTGATGGTGAGTAGTGGCGATGGTTGTGATGGTCTGAGTAGTGCTGATGGTGGTGAGCGGGCGTATGTCCGCCCCTTCCTTGTGGTGGGCGATGCATGTTTCAAGGTGACGCTTGGGTTGCGTAACACAGAGGAGAGGGGAAGGGCGGAGGGAGTAAGCACCATGCAACACTACGGTCAAACCAACCCAGGTTTCTCTCAGTGCCAAATCACACGACTACTGACGCTAGGTTGCCACGGAAAGTGCCACATAATGCGTCAATATCAACAAACGAACTAGCAGATTTACCCTTACCAATGAATGACAAAAAACAATCACAAATCAGGGTATACACAATACACAATCAGGGTAGTTGCCAAAAAATTGGAAAAAATGCCAAGGTGGTCCCAATATATAAAAAAGGACAGACAATGCACTGAATAGCAGGTCCGTATTACTAACATGGATACTGTCAAGTTTTGGAATAGATTGTAAAGAAAATAATATGGGAGCACTTGGAAAGGTTCTTTACTGAAAACCAACGCGAATTTAGGGATGGAAAATCCTGTCTTACGAATCTGGTGGAGTTCAGTGACAGTCACAGATATAAACCAGGACGGAGTTTGATAAAACTGCATCTTTTTGGAGGCGAAACTCGACCCCAGCAAACACAACTCTGTTAGTACAACCCCCCCCCCCCAACACACACACAACCACGAGTCACAAGGATGTCAAGAAGTATTTCTTCTGTATCAGGGTGGTCAAAAAGGGGAATGATCTCGGCTATTAAGTGATGGAGGCAGGCTCCATACACAGCATTAAGAGCAGGTACGCTAGGGCATAAGAAGCTAGGAAGGAGTGAATCCGGAAAGAGGCAGGGTCAGTAGATAAGAAACGACTCTTGCAGCCACATATGTATAGGCGAGTACATAGCAAGCGCCACACACACACGCCCAACTCTCCATTAAAAAGTTTTCCTTATAATCTTTCTTATATCTTCCTCAACATGTTTTCCTGCTGTGTATTCTATCAATAAGAAAAAATAGTTTTCCTAAATAAATTTCATGTGCATGCAACATCATCTATATTCTATACTGTGTACCACACAAGTACCGATACATCGTTATTTAGTCAAGCATCATCTCTCTGGACAAACTGTTCTATGATCTACCGTCACCTCTTTCGAGTGTCTTGTTACTCCCGTGGCCTTGAGTCTTAAACTAACCAACCACAAGAACTAGGTCTCCCATCACTCTCCAAGACATCATACTTTGCGTATCGAGTAATAACACGTGTCGACGACCCTCCATAACTTCAATTCCCGTGACTGTCTTCACTGTGGGCAACACTACACACCACTCCTGCCTTGCTGAGCGTCCGGTCATTAACCGCAGGTAACCCTACTTTCCAAATGACTGGCTTTATCAACCTGTTTACCTTGCAAGTAACATCAAGTGTATCTGACATCGTTGATATTCTATTATCACATGCTCCTGGGAGAGCAGCAGTACAGTCAGTACGGTGGGAGAGCAGGTAGTTTTTAAATTTGATGAGTTCTTTGACAATAAAAAAAATACGACACGCATAAGAATAACAAAGATGAAATTAACAATAAAAAGCTACTAGTATGCGTACAACAAATACTATCAAAACAAGTTAAAATAATCGGTTTAAGAATCTCAGTAAATTGTCAACATATAACAACTCTCCTAACAGTTCCCAGAGACCCGTGTGGGAAAGCAGGTAATTAGCACAGCTGTTATGTCGTAGCGTAATGACATTCTTTCACCCTTTTCCCCAGCGGCTGGAACAAACTAGGTGCCATATAACTGAGGGAATGTGGTGGAATGGTCAAGTGTGAGAGTGAGGCTGGACATTGTGCCGGAGGGAGGAGACTGTGACCCTCGAGGACACGCTATGGAATCCCTTAACACCCAGGTGATTACTGATGACTTTCCACCCAAGTGGTAAGATAACTGCACCACATCACCTAATGTTTACAACACTAGCAGCAGCCACAATCACAATAGTAGCAACCGTGCTTGTCAGAATTACACCAGCAACATTACCCGAGAACACCCCAAAACTAAGAATTGTACCACCACACTGCACTACCACAACTGCTTGTCTCTAGGAACACGTCTCTACAACCACATATTTGTTTTTATATTAAAAAATAAAACTGAAGAATTTTGACGATGAAATATGATTTCCACCGAAAGCCAACCAATGTACTTACTTGTAGACGTTGTTGTTACGTGGGATGATCTTGCCCTCTGTGAACAACTTAGCATACTCGATCCCCTGGCTGATGAACACCTGTACAACACAAGACAACAGAGATAATTAACCTTCCTTCATTTCTCCTCCTCCACAAGGAAAGAAAACTTTTATGTAATTACATAAATTCCTTGATTTAAATTAGTTAATTTTCTCAAATATCACCTAGCTTGAGTGCAAAATAAGAACTGGGCATATAACAATATTTAGATAACCATGTTTCCTTGGGTAGGAAAAGGGTGTAATCTTGAGGTGGTACTATACTTGTTTTGAAAATTACACAGGCAGGGAAACATTCAGATAATTGCCACCAGTCTTTGATCAAGAGAGACATTAACTAAGAATAAAGACAGAATGAAATAAATCTCAAGTTGCTGGAGGAGCAAGAGATCAGAGGAAACATGATCACAATGTACAATATACTCATGGGTACTGGAATGGCGGACATGAACACAATATTTGTCACGGGAGGAACCAGAACAAGAGAATATATCTATTTTTTGAATTGAGGTTTTCTGTTTTGAAGGGAAAAGCAGAAGTTCAGACATGAAAGTTAACACCCAACAATGTGCCGTAGTTTAGTAAACGAAGGCCAGTGCTACGATTCAAATTGTCCGACCTTCCACAAAAGTCTCATGACGACGCAAACTATACAACCAACAGAGATTTTTCTGTGCAAGGCAGTGGAAAAGAATGACGAGAAGAACTGAATCATAACCAATGGTAGGTTCTTCAGAGCCACAGATACTAAGCTCAACCAACAACCCCCACCCCCTTCCCCGCAGCACAACAACTAGCAAATGCATCATTTGTGTTTGAAAACGTACGAGGTCTCAAACCAAAGGCTTCTTCCCATGGAGTTAAATGTAATGCTTGCAGGTTTCTGCTCTATACCAACGTACAGAGAACTTTCACTCCAGTATACATTCAAACATCTGTACTACTGGGAACGCTGGAAGTTCCTTACTTATACTCCTTGGAATGTAGGCGAAAAAGGTACATCATAATTTACACCTGTAAAATCTTGAAGGGACTGATCCCAAAGCTGCACACTAAAATCTCTCTGAAAGCAAATTATTTGGCAGACTGTGCAAAGCACCTCCAATAAAAGCAAGAGAGTGACTGGTACACTTGAGAGAACTCGACAAGTGTCGGAGGTCCCAGACTTTTCAACGACCTCTCGTTGGCATGAGTGAAAAACTGCCAAGAAGCGCCACAGAAACAAATACGTGGCAAGATTTAACAATAAACTAGATAGATACACGAGTAAAAATAATAAGATGCAAACTGAACATACCTCGCATAGGTCAGTAGGCCTACTGCAATGTTTTGTTTTATCTATATTTAATCATATGTAAGCATTATCTGTGTATAATCATTATATTGATTAATCTATAATCACTATCTATAATGAACAAAAGCGTTCTGTCTACTGGTCCCGTAGTAGCAGATAAAGGAGACTTAATTTATGATGAAGCAGATATGCCAACAAATTTAAAATATATTCTTAGCAGCTGAATTTACACTAGAAACTCTGAATAATATTCCTGTAGCAACACTTTTTTTTCGATATATGACCATTTGCTATAAACTTTAAACATGAAATAAAGCAGCATTAAGAATATTAAAAAATAAATATTACTTTTAAACAGTGTATGCCAAGAATCTAAAAGATACCAGTTTTAAAGTGAATTTGTAAGACTGAGAATCTTACGCTATAAAAATACAATTTGTTTCGAAAACTGCTCTTATAAGTTACGAAGATGAAAAATTATAGAGTACTGTGCGTCCCGCTAATGCTCAAACATTTTGATAATGTCTCGTTTATCAAAGTGGTCTTAGTCTCAACACTGTGGTGACCTCGGTCTGCCCTCTTCTTGAAAAGCCTCACATTCAACACTAACTCTAGAATTTCTTAACTGCACCTGACTTATTACGACAATACACAAATAACCCGCACATAGAAGAGAGGAGCTTACGACGACGTTTCGGTCCAACTTGGACCATTTACAAAGTCGTTCCAGTCACGGTATTGTGCCTTTTTTTTTATTACGTCAACTTTGACTTCATTCATTTCTTTACTGTCATTAATGTATGTTCAGTCTTCAGTAGGTAGGGGTTCTATAATCGACGTGGTTTCTAAACCATAGTTTACCCATTATTTTTTTTAGTAGTTGGGATTTCTTTTAATTTCATTTATGGTTTTTTTTTTTAAATTCCTCTGCAGTCAATATGTGCTCAGTGTTCACTATTTCTTTAACCAGAGCTTTATCTCGTGCCTCAGAAATCTGCTGTCTTTAAGCTCTGCTATTCTTAACATTCGCCTGTAGAGGAAGCGTCCCTCGCCACCCCCATCTCTCCCCCCCCCCTCTCTCTCTCTCTCTCTCTCGTTCGTAACTTGTATGCTATTGAGATGTGTGTCTGGAGCATACTTCAAGCGTCAATGAGCTCTTCCTACCGAGAAACTGGTTTAGAGCCTGGCTAGTTATATCATCTTCCCAGCGTATTTCATTAAGATCACTGTTTATTTGGTCCAAGTTGATGCTCTTCGCGTTGAAATTGAATTTGCTGAATTCGCCCTGAAATCCTCTACCAAAATACCAAATACAAATTTATATTAAAGACGACGGCAAAGACTAATAAGAAAACGAAGATGAGATTTAAAATTAAAACTTTTATAAGAAAGACGAAGAATAAGAGGGGAGGGGAAAGTGGAGATTTGTTTGCGTGTATTCAAGACAGTCTACAATGGTTTTATAAATATTAATTAATTTTGTTTTACAATGAATGAAGAGAATTGTATGACTTACTTGGGGGTCGTAGTAGCGGCTAGTGTTTGTGAGGTCGACGACAAGGCCCAGGTTGACGCAGTGGTCCATTAGAGTGCGCGGGCAGAACCACTCGGCATGTCTCACCTTCTGCATAATAGTCTGCAAGGGAAACAACAAAATGTGCGTTAAAACAAACAAAAAAAATCAAGAAAACATCTAGAATATGGTTGGTCAAACAAACTTGAAGGGTTTACCATCATACTGGTCCTGGGAGTTGTAAGACGAACTACGAGATAAACGAAGAATCTTGAACCTCAAAGATATAAACAAGGTACGCAGAATGTATGACAATGGCAGAAGGAACCGGAACATACAGACATACAACAGGACATTTTCATTGTGAGGGAGAAACAAAGAAATATGCTAGGGAGCCAAGTCATAGAGGCTCACTCACTCCATACATGGTTTCAAAAGCAGACAAAACAGATTCTAAGATGTTAAATTAAAATGGCTCCAGGCAACTGAAGAATAAGAGGCGGGACCCAAGACAAGTTGACACAAACAGGCAAGTACACGTACCAATATATTAAAGTGTTCACTTGCAGGTAATTGAACAACAATGGAAATGTCAATCCATGCTAACCGTAAGAGATTTCTTAGCTGTGTTCGAGATAATAACTGTCCCCATAATTTATGCAGAGGAAAGGGCTATTTAGCACTGCTGATATGCCCGTGACTGGTTTTGAGTTTTTTACTCTCATTATGGGTTTTAGATGTTAAAACATATTGTACATCAGATGCTAACATTGTGGACCACGTGTGACCATATATTGAACCTAAGATGTTAAGAACCTCAGATTTTAACATGTTAACAATGAGAGTATCATTCTCCAACTTTTCATTGGGTTCATTCCTCCGTATCTCTCACTATTCTGAGATATTTTAGTGTACTGATTACGGACCTGACCTTCGAATACCTTCTCTGTATTGATTATGAAAAACATCTGTTTTAGAGATTACTTTGAGCAATTTGTAGCATTACCAGTATTTTAGCTCTAAGAAAACAAAAGCATGATTTACCCTCTCATTAGCAAAGAAACTGACAATACATACATAATTAGTATCAACATAATTTTATAGCCTAGTAACAATTAAGCACAAAAATTCATTAAGAAACCCGATGCATTATGTGTAGCTTCCTAATGACGTTATATTGAAAAAAAAAAAAAACCTGCAGATCATGCTTCATTACTTGTGCATAAATAAAGACGAGACGTTTAAAAAACATTTAATGACACTAATATAGTCATTAATTCTCGAGAACCAAGAAACCTAAATCTGAATCATTAATAACCTAACATAAAAACGCAGAGAACACTGTGTGTCCATGAGCTCGTCTTGTACAAGATCATCAGCTTCTCTTGTACAAGATCATCAGCTTCTCTTGTACAGGATAGAGTCAATCATACACCACGGCAAGTTAGAGTATATCATGACAGATTAGCCAGTTCTCTCTAGACAGTTCTCTATCCTGGATATCTTAACATTCACATTAAAATGGAACAGGAATTACACGTTAATACCGATAAGGTGGAGTAAATTATACTTAGATGCAACGGATATCTTTATTAGCGACAACTTTCCGCCCACACGGTGGACTAAATCAAACCACTGTCCTAATAAAGCCAAATGTGTGGGTGAAATGCTGTCGTCAATAAAGGTACACTGAATCTAAGTGTTATTTACTCCACAACAAAATATTGTAGGTGAATCTCAAAGACCTTCAACGCAAGATGAAGATGGTCAACTCCACTCGCCCTTTCATCCCATTTATGACAATTTTCACTGACCCCCAGTAAGTTTCTGAGAATCCTAAGGTTCTGTTCCACCAAATGTGTGTGCTTGTTTTGCAGAGGTAAATGTTCAGAAATTGACTCGTTCTATTGTGCAGGAAAAAGAGATTTGTAGTTTTGGGATAAGTTAGCTAGTTCCTCTTGGTAAAGGTGATCACTGTTCGGTTACTTGTACTTCAGTTAATCACTGTCCTGGTTAACTGTTCCTTGGATGGGTTTCGAGAATTTCCCTACTTCCACAGCTCTGTCCTTGGCCAGGCTTGTTAAGACTGTATCAAGGTAGTCATTACCCTTGCTATTTATATTGTGGGTACAATGTGATGATAGCCATCGTTCAGTTACATCAGATCAAGAAGATAACTTTAAACAATTAATACTACATAGTTTTCGATACTGTTTCATCGAATCTTTGATAATTAAGATTTTCATTACTAATATAGTGTTGATAAAGGTATTCGGCTTAAACTGACTGCACATAATTTTGTGTCATAATTTGGTCTTAATGAGTTTTAATTTTAAATACAGTGGTTAAGTGTGACCCAGACAAAGCACCTGGAGGGACTACTCCTTAGGCCAACAAGTTGATGCTACCTTACTCTATAGTGTTTCTCTGTCAATATTTAACCACCCACTGGCATCCACAAGGTAGTGTCATCCAGAGTACCAAGTCATCCCTCAAAACCAGCTGGGTACCACCTGGGCGCAACTACCCACTCGTCCTACAAGTCCACGTGGGATTTAACAAAACTCCTGCCGAGACGTATATCAGAGGTGGCGCCAGAGATGTCACCTGAAGTATGCCACCAAGGTTGCCTCTGCCAGGTACCCGCCGAGTGTGTTCTTTATGGTCTTCCAGTTACTGAGTAACTGGGCCGTCCATCAGGCGCCGTGACAGCGGCCACTTATGCAATCATTCTCGCCTGATCTCGCCACAAGGGGCCACCATATGCAAGTATTTTTATAGCACTTCAGTGACTAAAAAAATTATACGTGTTCGTTTGCTATGTCTTTGTAGGTGAGATAGTTTTATGGCATAGGTGTTTCTGTGTGGCAGCATGTGCCTATAAGCAGTGTTCTTACGCTTGGGTGTATGTGCACGCTTGGTTGTGTGTACGCCTGAGTGTAGGTGCGACTGGGTGTGTGTACGCGTGGTTGTATGTGCACGCTTGGTTGTCTGTGTACGCCTGAGTGTAGATGCGACTGGGTGTGTATACGCCTGGTTGTATGTGCACCTGGGGGCATGTACTTGAGTTAACTTATAAACATAAATAACTACCAATTTAAGAGTGAGATCAAGTGTACATGTGCAGTGGAGCGAGCATCAGTGTGTGGTGAGCCAAGGTAATGACAGTAGCAGCAACAGAAGCAGAGAAGCAACAGCAGCATTAACAGTAGCAATAGGATAAGCAGCAACAGCATTAGCAGTAGGATAAGTAGCAGTAGCAGAACCAGCAACAGTAGCAAAAGCAGCAGCAACAAAAACAGCAGCCATGTGGCTGTTAACGTGCTCTTACATAACAAAACTGGGTACACCCATAGTGTGCCACTACACTCTTATGCACCAGACAGGCATTCTTAAAAAAAAAAAAAAGAATACCTGGCTGCAGCTATGGAGTTGTGAGGTGGAATGATAATGGTAGTAGTGGTGTTGATAACGTAGCTGGTAGTCATAGCGTAGGTGGTGATTGCGTAGGTGGTGATTGCGTAGGTGGCGATTGCGTAGGTGGTGATGGCGTGGGTGTCGATAGTATAGGTGTTGATAGCGAAGGTGATGGGGTAGGGGGTGGTGGAGAAGGCGGCAGGGGTGGTAGCGTAGCTAGTGATAGCGTACGGGATGGTGGAGGATGGTAGCTTAGATGGTGATTGCGTAGGTGGTGGGGTGGTAGCGTAGGTAGTTGGGGTGGCGACTAACGATGATGGTAAGCTAAAGGATGGGCGGCCCCACCACCCATCTGAGGGGTGAAGGGGAGCGAGTGGGCGGGTCTGTGGGTATGGGCGTCGCCGCCCGCACGCCACACTCATCACCACCGCCCATATATCACTGGCCACTTTTATGTCAGCTAACGTTTCATTAATATCCAGTTATGTATGTATGAGTAACTCGTTGTGTCGTGGGCCCTCGTGGGCACCCTGTGGGGCAGGCTCTCGTAGGTAACTTTGTCGTGGGCCCTCGTGGGTAACGTGTGTAGTGGGCCCTCGTGGGTAAGCGTGGGGAACTCCTTGAGGAGTGAACTCTCATTCTTGAAGAAACTCCTTGGGAAGCGAGTTCTCACTCCTGAGGTGTGATGACAAGACGGGCAAGTGAGGAAGAAAGATCCCTCTACTTTCGTAGATTAAGATGAAAGTATTTAACGCTACATGTACAGCTACTGTTTGTTCAGTTCACACCATGATCTTGATAACCTCTTCCTTATGTTGCCCACACTGACTGCACGAGGCCCCCCCCCCCCACACCCACCCACAAGCTTTAAGAAACCTAAATAAGGCGTCATTCACGAAGCTGTATACGGCGATATGATAACGTACAAAATATTGAGAGGAATTGACAGGATGGAGAGAAACAGATTGTTCAAGAGACGGGAAACAAGAGCACGAAGGCACAGCTGGAAAATGAAAACAGTCACAGGGATATTAGGAAGTATATCTTCAGCCTTAGAGTCTGAAAGTGGAACGACCTGGATAGTGGAATGATAGAGACAGGATCCATACACAGCTTTAAGAAGAGGTGTGATAAAGCTCTTGAATCATGGAGTAAATCCAGTAGAGGTTGAACATTAAAATGGTCTCACCTCCTGGCACTATATAAGACCCCATTCTGTCACTTCAACTTCATATTGTTTCAGACAACGGAACAATGCTCTTCTCCAGACTGAGGGACTGACCACCTCAAAACTTTAAGGGTGATGGACTGATTACATCGTCTTCAAGTATCTTCTGCTTCTATCAACTTTTCTGTACTCGACTGAAGAAGCCTACTGTGTAGGCGAAACGTTTCGAAATAAAGATACCTAACTGTTGCATATGTGTCTTACCTACCAGTAGAGGTTAGCGAAGAGGCAGGGCCAGGAGATGAGACTGGAATCCTGCTACCACATACAAGTGAGTACCTACATATTTACACGCATACTTACACACCTCAAATGTAGACTTGGATTTCATGAATTGCATCGAAAGAATTGCGTTCAACAATAAACATCCATTTCATTTAGTCACTTTTCATCAAAAAACTACCCTCAGTTTTTGTAGTATATATAACCTTCGTCTTGTTCTCTTGAAAACCAAGAAACTTCTTCCTATTCTGTCATC